TGATTGAGCTAACTGGAACCTAAATCAAATATTACCTACATTTATAGACTGTGAGTGGGAATATACCATACCTTGCATTGGATTACACTACGTACTGGAGAGTTCATCAACCAGATTGGAATTACCAAGCATTTATAATTGTGGTTTCTTAGTACCAGACCAAAGCCGAACACGCATCAATTTGGTGAACTTAAATAAAGTCCCAACTTTCTATCATATCTGTAATAACTAACTTATATATATTAACATTACTATTGATTTTTATTAGTTTTGTTGATACTTTTTGCGTTTATATATCGTCTGGTCCACCACAAGTTATACAGTAGATGAAGCAAGAAGTTGGAAGATTATCTTACAAGCACATATTCACCGCTAATCAATACTCTATTAGCTTCTTGAAGAGCACTCTTACAAGAGCTGGATGTTTGTATTCATCTTTGATCGTGGTGAGTGGTCATCTATGGGAGCATATACATGCTGCTAGTTGTATATTACTTGAACAATAAAACTCTAAACGTTGTGTAGCATTCCTTGACCCGAAAAGCATGCAGACATTCCTTGTAGCTCGAAAGAGTAGTAGTAGGTGTTTTAAGAACGTCATCTGGATGAATTAGAATTTGATTATATGGACGGAAGAAATCGAGTTGCAAAATCGCTGTATCAGATAGACCATGAGTAAAGTCATGTCAGAGTGGAAGAGAGTATCTATCTGGTATAGTCCGACTGTTAAGTGCTCTATAGTCGCCCCATGGTCTAAAATGGGAAGAGTGCTTCATGATTATCATACGGAGTGTCGATGCCCACGGACTACCGGAAGGGCTTATGGTGCCTCACTTTATCATCTTGTTGAGTTTGTTCTTTGTGAGAGCAAGACGAGAGGGGCCGAGAGGTCTTGGAGGTGCAAACACTTGTGATCCCTCCGTCTTAATGTGGTGTGTGACGGTATCAGTTTGTCACGTTTAAAACTCAGCTGTAGTAACTATGGTGACTGTTCGAGCAAAGTGGTATACTTATCCTTCTCATAGTGACGTTTTATCAGTATTTGTATGAAAGTCGCGTCGGATATATTTCTTTTGATTTCACAGTTATCATTGGCAAATGCAAATTTCCGGATTCTAACGTATACGAGAATTTCATGGGATTGCAAGAATTCAATGCCGACTATGGAAACTAAGTCATCGGATGCGACGGAGCTTCAGGAAAAATCGCAATCGTGACCAAAGTATAATTATAGCTGTCTATTCCCACACTTTTTAATTTTTGATCTATTTGTAGCTTGCATTTCTAGTAGGAGGTTAGGTGATTTTTTTCAAGTTTAGTAGTTGGTACTACATTACCCTTAACCTCATTGTCGACTAAAAACTGTGTTCCAGTCCTTTTATCTGTGACATATAGCAAACAACTGTCTTCGGAGTTGTGGCCGGAGACCGGAGTCATCAATCGTCAGCTTTAAGGTTTCTCTACCGTGTTCGTAAAGTTGTAGGAAGAATGCTTTTTTCGGTTGAATGCCTTAAGTTCCAAGATAACGGCATGTGTCATGTCGGCTGGTGTTAAGACTACGGTGTTTACAGTTCCGGAGTCTTCGTCAACACATGCATCGGGAGGAATATTCCAGAATGAAGGTTGAGCTACCTGATTGGTGTGGATCTTGAGTTTTTGTTGTAACTCGTTAGTGGGGTTTGTGTGTGTTTGTGGTAATAATTGGGTTCTAGTCTGCTCTTAAATTTTGTCGCCTACGTCTCCTTATCTGTCAGAATCGACGTCTACCTCTCAAATTGCTAATATTTGTTGAATTTTTTGACGGAGGCCTCTGAACCACAACTAATATAACACGCGTTCATCTACAAGACAATTCCTCATTTTCCTGTAGAGAGATGTAAGTCTACTAGATCAAGTACAGAGATGAGCAATCAAACAGGTGATATAGCTGAAACACTAATCTTATAAGAACAAATCCCAGCTCCTGGGATTATTCTCGTCGAGCTTTAGGAGAATAGAAGGTGATTTGATATCGAAATACAAAATATTGAATGCGCCAAGCCACCTCAACACGAGCATATTATCAGGACATCATTGCCACGCTCCTCGAGGCAACCCTCGAAAAATTGCACGTGGAAGAGAGAACACCCAGGTCCGTTCTCACTTTTTCTCATTGAGAGTTGCTCATATTTGGGATGCTCTGCCGGCTGAACCGACTAAAGCCTCCTCAGTGAAAGGCCCCAATTGGAGACATGACGAACAAATATTCACCCTTGGATTACCATCTCCCTCTTGAATCAGCTGTGCCTGATGTATGTCTCGTAAATTTTATCATCATCACATAATATCAACTTATTTCTACCTTGCTTATTATCATCTCCGTTTTCCCTTTTGCTTTCACACTTCATTCTCCTCATACTGTCTGGACCACAAGTTAATGAAATTATTCGTTTAGTAAGTTCTTGTGACAATCGTCTCCCCCTAACATTTGAGTTCTCACTTCATTATTTCTATAATTGCTACCAACAGAATTCCCGTCAGATAATGTGATAACTGTTGGCTCTAGAAAACCTACTGACCTGAGACAGATCCAGTCACTTAAATTGCAAGTTTTTAAATTGTATATTTTGTGTTTAAACCCTAAAACTGTTGAGAGGCTGCCGCTCATTCACCATTACCAGAGATCTGATTAATAGTGAAGATATTATCTGTCATTAGGGTTGTTATTGTTATGTAACTGCTTAAGGCTGTATGATCTTTTACGTCTCCATCTCTATGCGAGATGCGATAGTTTGGACTAATTCAATAATATTGTTTCGCACTATCAATATCTTCCAATCTCAATCTACCAAGAATTGACAGTCTTCTGTCCAGTTTCATCCTCATATTTTGGACGAACCGTTAGCGGATATTATCAGCACTTTGGATCAGGTCTTACAACTACTAAATTGATTCAAAATTTTGTCTCACTGATTCACAGTGGGTATGTCTCCTAGTTAATCTGTGAACAAATGGGCCTCATACCTTTGAGCCAACAGTCCCATCTCATAAAGCACTCCCTAGAACGCTCTGCGTCTCATAACGGATTTCGCCGACAAGTATTTTGTAAAATCAATTTAACTAGTAAGACAACTGGGCTATAAACCAACTGGGTCGAATATAGAAGCTATATACAATAAAATGGTTCTCACCATATGGGTCGCCTTGAATTCACACGCTCTGAATTAGATCTTATCCATTCGAACATTCCACTCTATTCCTATTGTCCTTTCATTTCTTTCCGTAGATAAACAGATGTCTACATTTCTTCCTATTAGGTCTTCTGGAATAAACTTCATTAGTTCAATACTGTTGCTCGTCGACTTGGTCAGACTAAAACTTAAATGTAGGATTCCCTTCAACTGAGTGCATCACGATCCTGTGGTGTGACAATCACTTGATGAAACATAGCTCCAATATCTGCCGTGAGACCTATTGGCCGTCACTAAAATATAGTGAAGACATCTGCCCGATGATTGACTAAATCTGGTCCAGAATACAAGATTTTATTCAGCGACATATATTGCACTACGTTGTAGAATACGATTTTTATCTCATCAGATTTTTTCGGATATAAGAAAGATGGGGCAGCAAGTGCAAAATCCGGTACCTAATGCGATTCTCTGAAGCCTTTTCGGCGCAGCCTCGTTCAACATATTGCGTCCATACATTTAAATTTTCCTTCTGCAAACTTTTGTCACCGATGACCCGGTTCCCCAAAAAATTTAATCTACTCACTGCTAGTTCTGTATTATTAGGTAGGTTTTCTTAGTGACACCAGGGTAGAGCTATTTGGTAATGCCCGTTTAATACCTGCATAGATTTAGATATAGCGCCCAAGGTTTTACGGCATTTAGATGTGTGCGCACGGTGAATCGGGTCTATTTTAAACCTCACATTATAAAATTCGTCTGATCTAGCTCCTCCTCTATACTTAGACGATAGATAATTTGTGATACACACATATTTCGTGGTCTCACTGCAAGGACCAAACGACACCCACCCTAGAGGAGTTTTCATAGCATATGGCTCGTTAGATTTTTTATCTCTCTTTTCTGTTATCTCATGTAAATTGCAGTCTATCAGTACTTTGAAATCCTCATTGGGTTACTGAATAAAATGTACAGACACTTTTATGTATGTATCCATAGAACTCTAACCCTTAAAAAATTTATCTATTTCTTAGCCAATGAAATGCACTTGTCCATCAGGTCACTTCTGATTGCCACCGACTGACATTCTCATTAGGCTGCTTCTGATTGGCTTACTATGTCAAAAGCTCCAAGCATTTTTGAAGAGACCTCCTGATGAGATGTCACCTGTACGGGAAAAATACTCTAGAATCGATTGACATCGAGAAAGATTTATGTGAAAAGGCATTCCTATAAATGTTGAACTAACAAGTCTCAGCTCCATAACAAATTGGATACTAACTCATGATCCGCAAACTGTAGCCCGTAAGCATAAGGTAAGATTGTGGAAATCAGAGATGCGAGTTCAGATATATGTCGCAACAAACCTTACCAGAAGTTTAACACTAACTATGATATATGTGAAACAGATATTTACTAGCGTCTTCATCAGCCGCTAAGTATGATCAAACACCAGAGGGATCATATAATTGTTTATGTTGTGAGAAATATTCTTTTTACTACAGAAAGCAAAATAAACAAAATGTAATTAATTGGTGCTAATATTTACCAAATTAGTAAAACAATGGTGGAAAAAACATGGAAGCGTTTTTCTGATTGCGTAACATTATAATAACTATCACAGTTAACACCAGAAATTTAAGTTTTCAAAATATATGATAAAATTTTCAAAAGGGACAAAAACCAAAGAAGGCATAAATATAATAAATGAATTAACACAGTAACAAAGGAAATACACACATCACAGGTGTAACTAATGTGTAATTGGAGGAAAAAAATCCATATAAACGAATACATTTTGCCACAACAATATGATGTTCAAGCGTACTTCTAGGCATCCGTGACTTGACCAGCCTTTTTCGATATTGTATCTGGATTACCGATTGGTCCAATATCAGAAAACAGATTTAACCAAGCATCTAGATTTGTGGGCTATTGTAAATTCAAAGTATAAACGAAAACAACACAGTGGTGAAAAGATAATAAAGAATCATAACTAATTATTACCGCAAGACGAATATTAGTAATAACAGTTGAACTGTAACGGTTGAGAAAATCATCAAAATTGACTAACCATATATTATTAAACGAAGCACTAGTCACTGATACCATATAACCATTAGATTTTAAGTAGGAAGATTGATTTCTTGCAAAGTGAACGCTCGACTTATTTAGTAAGAATAGGTCAGATCTGTATAAATTGGACAATAATAATTTAATGGCTTACTGTGTGAACACGTATTTACAATAATATACAGTTAAGCATCTCTAATCATTCTTAAAACGGCCGAGGGTGAGGAGAGATCGCTCTTCCAATTGAAATGCCCACATATGGCCACGTGTATACAGCCACGGCCGCGGTGTTGTTTACGAGACTGTCAATCAGCAGTCAACAAGCAAACTGAAATCGACCCAATCTATCAACCAATCGGGAAAGTTATGGACAAACATGGGACAAAAAATTAAACCAATCGGATATACAACCAAAACAAAGAAGTGAACAATGACAGGTTTAAGGTCAACAATAACCAATCAACATCGAGGTCCATAGGACAAATTGTGAACCATATGTGGAGAAATCCGAACACCACTTCTATCTGAAGTTTGTGCTGATGATGTCGTTCAGAAGAATGATGAAAGCTCTACGACTAAACTATCCAGCTCAGAGAACAAGACTCCATCAAAATCTGGTGTTGATTGAGTCTAGTATCTATATATTAGTATAGAGTATTGATGAGGAAGCAATTAGAAAGAAATACTTCTTAATTCAACTTGTGGGCAGAACACTTTAGGGATCAGTTCAACTGGCCTTCAGTCACACTTCGGTTTCCCACGATCTCCAGTCAACCTGAATGGCAAGTTAATGTAAGTCCTCCGTCCCTTTACGAAGTTGAAAAAGCCATAGGAAATCTGAAACGAGGGAGAGCAGCAGGCCCTGACAGGTTTACTCCTGAGATTTTTAAGGATGGTGGTCCAGTATTAGCAGCAAGATTAACTGAGGTCTTAGGTAGAATTTGGGAACTGGACGTAATCCCATCTGACTGGTCTCAATCACTGATTGTGCCAGTTTTTAAGAAAGGACAAAAGTCCTCTTGTGACAATCACACAGGAATCAGTTTGACTAATATAGTGTCTAAAATATTGGCCTCAATAATACTTCGACGCCTAACTAAAGCTCGTGAAGAGCAGACTAGAGAAAACCAGGCTGGTTTTCGACCTGGACGTGGTTGTATAGACCAGATATTCACACTACGTCAGGTTCTAGAACAGAGACACACATTCAGACGCCCCACAATGGTAGTATTTCTCGACCTTAAGGCGGCATTCGACTCCGTTGATCGTGAGGTTCTATGGCAGTGTTTGTCACTGAAAGGAGTACCAAAGAAGTACATTAACCTTATAAAGGCTCTCTACTCGAACACAACTGGTAGAGTGAGAGCTTATGGCGAACTGTCATCAGAATTGATCACCTCAAGTGGTGTTCGTCAGGGCTGTCCACTCTCCCCATTCTTGTTCAACTTTGTCATTGACGTACTTTTAGAGATAACACTCTCCTCATCTAAATTTACAGGGGTTGAACTTCTACCAGGAGGTTCACTTGTTGACTTAGAATATGCAGATGACATAGTTTTATTTGGTGAAGACGCTGACAAAATGCAGAGTCTTCTGACCACTCTAAGCAACAATGCAAGCATGTTCGGGATGCGATTCTCTCCCTCGAAATGCAAAATGTTGCTTCAGGATTGGGTTACATCGACACCCGAACTAGTGATAGGGAGTGAAGTAGTTGAGTGTGTCGACCGCTTCACTTATCTTGGAAGTCTCATCAGCCCTTGTGGTTTGGTGTGTGACGAAATCTCAGCACGGATACAGAAGGCTCGACTAGCTTTTGCCAACTTGCGTCATTTATGGCGTAGGCGAGATATCCGTCTATCAACCAAAGGACGTGTTTACTGCGCAGCAGTTCGTTCCGTCCTACTTTATGGCAGTGAAACATGGCCGGTAAGAGTAGAGGATATCCGTAGGTTACTAGTATTCGATCATAGGTGTCTTCGAAACATTGCTCGTATATCATGGGACCATCGAGTAAGTAACACAGTTGTTAGGAAACGGGTACTAGGTAAGGATGGCAAATCAATTGATGACGTAGTGAAACTTCATCAGTTGAGATGGCTGGGACACGTGTTACGTATGCCCAACGACCGACTGCCTCGACGTGCTATGTTCAGTGGTATAGGAGTAGGTTGGAAGAAAGCTAGGGGCGGCCAAACCAAAACATGGCACAAGTCCATGAAGTCACTGACAAGTGAACTGAGTCATGTTGGTAGGTGTAGACTACCTGGTTGGGGACCGCGAGATGACAGCAACCGATGGTTAGAGACCCTGAATGACATGGCTCAAAATCGTTCGCAATGGCGCAGGTGCATCCACTCTCTGTGTTCTCCCAAACTCTAATCTTCTGATTTCTTCATGTCCCTTTTTCCCTCTTTCCAAATTTCTTTCACTGGATTATACTCTTTAAATAACATCTCCAAACCCTAATCTTCCCGATTACTGCTTATACTCTTGCTAATGTGGTGTGGCAACTCGAACTGATGTACGTACGTACGAAGTTCTACGTTGTTACTGACTGACTGACTGACTGTGTTTTGAATATACACAGATGTCATCTTTCACCTTCAGTTGGACAAAAACTGGGGCAAGATAAATGCCATGTCATTTCGCCAAAAAGCTAATGAGTAAATAAGCTACTCGAAAAAGACATGTAATCAGTAGGTACCAAACAACAAAAGACTATTTGATATTATCCGACCACCGATTGGGATTTCCAAACGCAGAACATTATTTTAAGTATGGTATGGATTCAGCTGTGAGATAGTGAAAGTTTGTAAGGACGAGTGACAATTATCAGTTTGCCAAAGCAAACTAGATAGAACGGGGTTCTAAACCACGATATTTAACTACAAACTTAATGTTTTAACTACGAAGGAGCCAATCCAGTTACACAAAAAAACATGGGCACAGTTACCTGTTGGGATGATAATGACTTTGGGGCATTTGAAATGGTACCCAGAGAGTTTTCACTTTTTTTTAACTGTTGTTCGGATTGGTTGTTATTATTACTAAATGCAGAAGTATTCACGTTAGTACACTCCAAAGATGACTTCATCGATTGAGTACCAATTAAATTGGAAGTGCCTGGGTTGAATAAATTTTGGAATTCCTGTTCTAATAAGTGTGAAGGAAGTATTGATGTCCTGAGTGTATCCTAATCATATCAAAAGTGGCGAAAATAGAAGCATATACAGTTCGAATGAATTCAGTTAGATTCAATGAATGTTAAAGTGATTAACTTGAATAATACATCAGACACCCACTTGTTAAAGGGGATTTTTCATCAAGGAATGGTATCAGAGTTAAAAAAAACCATTATAAATCAAGATACATCATGACACCTACTTTATTTAGGAGTCGTTATTCGTTATGCTTATACAAGGTTTGGCACTTTTATCATCTACCTAGTTAAAGTCACGTTACTGATTCATAAGGAGAATATGACGAAAACTAATTTGAAACATGTCATTATCAGGTACTTCATGTTACTTTGCAGGGAGCATGGTTTGGTTCCTCTAATTACGACCCAGCTACTCTTATTGCTTAGCATTCTTTGGACGCTTTATTTTACTCGAAAAATCCCCGAATCCGAACACGAATGAACAGGAACGTGATAATGTTACAAATAAGCAAAGTTGAATGGAAATAGGAATCACAATAAGAAAAACATTAGTAATATTTATAATTTTACACAAGGAGATTCTAGAGTTTTTCCAAAGTATCTGCTACCACTGATTGGTTAAGAAACAATTGATCAGCATGCACCAACACAAACCTCCACGGAACATGTTTTAATCCAATCTATATCCCCCTAACAAAGCAACTGTTTTCATTCGTTTTCAGTTGGAAATAAAATTACTCTTCAAATTAAAGAAAGACATTGAATTCTCTTAAATCAAATAACTAGTGTTAACAAAAAACTCTTCGTGATGCTGAACATAATATCGACCAAGCTAATGAATTATTAACAAAGTAGACTATAAATAAATAATATATTTGTAATATCCCAATGAGTAGAAACTTAGATTTCCTGACGTTTCGTGATATAGTGAAAGTCACTTCTTCAGAGAATAAATAACCAAATTAAAATTAATCCAAGTTTAAATTGTCCCGCTGTACTATTCAAACTTGGATTAATTCTAATTTGGTTATTTATTCTCTGAAGAAGTGACTTTCACTATATCACGAAACGTCAGGAAATCTAAGTTTCTACTCATTGGGATATTACAAATATATTATTTATTTATTTATAACAATCTACCCAATGCTCAATTTATTCGAAATTAACAAATCAAACCTTGGTAATGATACCTACAAAGTAGACTATCGTATGAAGAAGTTGAACAATATTTCACTTACTTTTGACCCTACACTCTGCAACGGTCCGAAATCAGCGTTTTGGCAAGGCTGATTCAAATCGCTAAAGACAGCTTCCGAATCATTAGTGAATCCGTCTTTATTTCCGAAATTGAAAGGACCTTTATTACAAGCAAAAAAAGAATTAAAATTTTTTAGAGTATTTTGAAGATTTATGTATTGTGTTAGGAAACAAATCATAGGTTTTCTGGAAAGATCGAATCCTTACGAAGGCTCGTAATGATCCTCAATTTACCAAGCTGGGATTGAATGAATATCTTAAACTCATTTTTAGTAGTTCAAAGGCGAGATTGTTCAAGTTACTGGATTTTAATGTCTTTTTAATTTCGCAATGTTTCATGTTGTTCAGTATCCGGACAAAAGTTACTGAGACTGAATGGTCAATTTTAGTCCCCGAGTGGTACTACTTATATCTGGTACCCTTAATAAAATGGGATATTTAACTTCTATCAACAACTAATACCATTTTAATGTTATCAAAATCTGTAAACCACCAGTTACAAAAGTAAGCGCACACGTTGATGATTAGGTTGATAAAACTCGAAAACATGTTTTCCTGAGTTGCAGGAGATAAGGATAATAATATGATATTTAATAACCTCGATCGAACTCATCTAATAAGTTATAACATATTCGTAACTTATATAATAATAGTAAATTGATAGAACCTGTGGGTTTGTTAATCTCGATCGATGAGAGTGAATCAAACAATAATATCTGGGCTAAACGCCCACCACTTCAGACTCATTTAGTCCCAGACTGGCTATTATTATGACCAGTCATGAGATTGCACCGGTAGTATAAACATAACCCTTGTTATTGGTTGATTTTATTGTGTCCCTGCTACTGTTCGGTATGCGCGTGTTTATTGTTCTCTTTGTAATCGGCTACTACTTTTTGTTTTTTTGTGCTAAATGTATTCATCTACATCTTAGAAACAGATCGTAATTGTTGATTATACACATAGTTATCTGTTTTGACTATATCCCTGCCAAGTTTGTATGAGACAGCATAGGGACATATTCAAGAAATTCATCTGTGGGTAAAGATTAAATCTCATAGTGTGAAACATTTCTCTGTGTTAATGTGGTATGTTCAATGCGAATTTGTGCCAGTTTCTACGTTGATTACGATTGAATGGATGACCCATTATACCCTTCATTGTTACGATAACCTGAGTAACCAAATGATATATCATCAATGTTGGAGAAACTAAACTTTCAAAAAACGTTTTTGGACACATATCAATTTCCAAATCCATATATTAATTGAAAATGAATTCGATTCATGAACTTTTAGTGCTATTGCATTTGTATAGACTGAGTCCTCATGAAATCAGTTTGTGGTCTGTCATTATATTAATTAATTTATATGTATTTTGCATTCAAGTAATGACTTGATTGACAATTATTGAAATTAACCAGCATATTCAATCGAAGTAGATGTAGTTCAAGATTTACATCCAAGTTAATTCAGTTATATATCAAAATCCAATGAACACTACATACCGAGTTTTATCAACTGTGTAATTAATTGTCTTTGAAAACAAAATCACAGTAAAATAACCGATACAAGGAAAATAAAGTGAAAATCAAATGACAAATTACAACTGAACCACATTGAAAGTTAATGAATAGAATTCCTTATGAATGATCTAATACAACAAAATGCTTGGAGTTGACTGGACGAAAACCACCCTTAATCGATATACGAAATTAAAATTGATCTTCCGCATACGTCGTAATTAGGAACGCATAGTATCACTGAAAGTACGGTATTGATGATGCAATTAAAGTTATAGAATCATCTTCCGCCTCGTAAGAGGAAGAAATCTTCAAGTTTAAAAAACAGTACTCTACTTGTTTACACAGTAAAGGCATAAATGGACACTTTAGGAAATAAAAAAATCTGTCTCATTACCATAAAAAACTTACGAGTATCCACTCCAGAAAGGTGTCCAGCAAATCTATCATCTTTTGCATCACTAAGAAACAGATCAGTGAACAAATCTCTATGATCAGCAGGGACTTGCTCACTAGATTCATTAATCAGACCTAAAATTGTTAAACCGAACAAGATCATCAGTCCCTAAAACATTATGGCAAAGTAGAAGCGAAAATGGGCAAAACGTATACAAGGTAGTTGAAGCATATATTCATAATAGTTATTACGCATACAACTAGAGTAACTATTTGAATGATGAAACAGCATGTAGGAAAAAATTAATTAAATGATGAACAGTTGTAAGCAACACAGAACCTGGCACATGTATGCATTCATCCAAATTGGTACTCCGTATTAGTAAAGTGGTATTTATTTAGTTATTTAAACACATTAACATTAGTACACGGAGGCACAAAATAGAAATGCAACACACAAAATCACTCAATTTATGTGAGGTCTGGGATACTGCTTAAGTGCCACTCCCTGGGCCTTTGACCGTAAGGTCTAATCCACGAGGTAGTGGAGTAACGTAAGGAGATAGTCTTATGGTTGCCGATGACCAACAATAGGCTAATACGCCATTTGTTCCTTTAGGATCCTGGAGCCCATGTGCACCATTGGTTTGAAATCAGGGTTTTTCAACTCTCTTAGGTGGACTAACCGTGTCTACCAACCCGGTTAAAGTGCCGGATATTCGCTTTTCGTCCTCCCAATTTCGTAAACAACACCTGTGCCACGACAAGAGTTATAATTTGTCGTTTGAATGCTTATTGTCTTGGCTCTTTCAATGCTACTTTTTGTATCTGATCGTCGCTGATTGTTATTGTCGGAAACGCTTATCACTTATACTCGGAACGAGGGACCTCTGCAACTCACACGATGCGAAAGTAAGAACACAAAGACTGGTATAAGTGATGATTTATTAGCCCAAAGCACTATGACGACGACAACGACTCTAGTAGAAAATACACTCATTTATATATTGATTGTACACCCATTTTGATTAATAATTAGGATGAACTCACATTTATGAAAAATACTTAGAGTTATAAAATATCACAGACTGAGCATAGTTCATGTCAATAGAATACAAGAATATCGCATATTATACAGTATAAAATATCATACGAGACAATAAAACAACTACTACATTGAGTAATCATTACATTGAATCAAAACGGAAGTAATGTTGAACAAAACTGATAATGAGTAAATCAATCGAAAATTGAATTTTCTTTCCATCATATCAATAAAGCAGTGAGTAGGACTTTCCTGCCAGTGGTTGTATGCACGTGGCGATGTGAGAGCATTTCGAGATATGAAATTGAGACAAATCCCAGAATAGTAGGAGTAGTAACAAAACCAGTTGCATTAAGAAACATTGGGCGTAAGCAATATAACTCGAGAAGGAAGGCTATCCTTAGCCTCATTTCGAAATATTTCTACACCATCAACCATTGAGAGTCATAGTGGGGGATGGTTGGACGTATGTAATACATAACCCAACCACACAAGACGATGAACGTTCATAGCCTTATCTCATAGCTTATCATTAAAACATCAAATTTTACAAAAAATACGTTTTACTGACATTGAGAAGCGTTTGAACAACTTTACAAAAACATAGTACTAAAAATTAACCTTACCACCAATGTTATTGTTGTCTTCAGTTCCACCAAAACTGGTTTGATTCCCTGATGATTTAAATTGATCTGAATCAAAGTCGAAATTATTACAATGATTTTCTAGGAAAATTTCATCTAATCTTTTATCAAATTCTTCTTCATCTGTTAATTTTGTTTGATGTATTCCATGGTTATTGTCATCAGAATTCATAATTGCTGGATCACTTAATTCAACTTGGTTAAATCCACTGTCTAACCTGTATTTTAAAAATAAAAAAGTGAATAAGTATGAATATATTTTTAGTAGAAGACACTGAACACTCCTAAACTATGGACAAACAAACCAAACTACTTAACATTGACTGCTAAGCAAATCTAAATGAAACAAATCTTCTGGTGCATTAACTGATGATGAGGTGATTAAGTAATCCACTCTGGTCCCCGAAAAAGTTAATCAACTTCGCTGTATTGAAGTCTGTTTAATTTAACTAATAATCTGATACCAATAATATACCGCAGTACATATCGTCACATTAGAGGGAATTGTAGTTGACTTGACTATTATCAACATTTCCACAAATTGTCACTAAGTACGACCTAATTTATGTGCATTTGAGCCACAATATTTGTGTGAGGTGTGCGGATAATACTCGGCTACTTAAGTTAAAAAAAATGAAGTGTACAACCAATTAGTTGAAGCTGTGTTGTGTGAACACACTAAGCCGCTACTGATTTGCATAAGTTCATCATTTTGGCCAATAACATATTTTTCGCATACTTAAAAAGTTAAGGGATAAATGAATTTTTTTCTCCTCTACATTGTGAAACGTGAATCCATAGTAACGGATAAAATATATACGAAAAATCATGATGTTTGTATGTTACATGAATATTTAGCTGAATTAGTTTTCCTACTTCGTACTTTCATCAATAATTATATATTAGAAGGGATTTTTGTGAATATTATAGTAATCTGAATAGTTGAGATAATGATTCCAATCATGAGACTGATAGCTGCTGGGTTTGAATCTCGCGAAGCGGGATCGTGGATGCGCACTGCTGAGGAGTCCCACAATAGGATGAAACGGCCATCTAGTGCTTCCAGGCTTTCCATGGTGGTCTAGCTTCAATTGACTCATGATCTCAACTATTGAAACCATACATTAGTTCATTAATATATGACAGATACACAGCATTCTTAAACTCATTTACCATGTACAGATTTATGTATTTGGTCACACTCTAAGTGCAGGGGTTAGTGATATCACCCAGTTGCCCAAATCAAACCAGGTGGGTAGGGGTTCGAACCCGTAACTTTGTGCTTGAAACTCAAACGTCTTAATCGCCGAACCATCTTTCTGCTGCTCAATATTGGAAACTTACTAATAAATACCTAATTATACCGCCCCCAAATGCCCTGGTACGGCCGAGAGTGGGGAGAGTCCGCTCTCCCTCTCGAAATGCTCTCACACGGCCACGCGTATATAGCCTCTGCCAGGGAAGTCCTACTCACTGCCTTCTCGTGGCGGGGATGTTGTTTACGAAAATGAGAGGACGAAAAGCGAATGTCCGGCGCTTTAACCGGATTCAAAACCAATGGTGCACATGGGCTCCAGTATCCTGCAGGAACAAATGGCGTATGAACCAATTGCTGGTCACCGGCTTCCATGGGACTGCATCTCCTTACGATGCTCCACTGCCTTGTGGATCAGACCATTAGGTCAAAGGCTCGGGGTGTGGCCCCCTAAGAAAACCACCTGCTTCGGTCTGGGCACCCGGGCAGTATCATAGCCCTCACACATCGAATGAGATTTGTGTGGCGCACATGTATTTGGTGCTTCTTTGTACCATTATCTATGTGTTGAAATAAAAAAAAACCTAATTATACCAAACTATTCCTACATACTTCGTACTGAAAGAAAATTAATGATGTACTGAATGACCGGATATCAATCATAAAATGAATATCCTATCGACAACACGAATTTAACGTTTGCATCAGAAACCAGACAGAATCACACTACCCCAGTATATGGAATATTTGAGGTTAAGTTGATTGTGAATAAAAATCAGTTTTGAATAGAATCAGAATAATTCTTCTGAAAACAAAGTGAAAGATTTCAGCCATGTCATTATAAATAAAAAGCACCGATGATAAACCCGTAAGTGCAATATGACCCTTTGTCTTTATTGAACATCAAAATGAGGAAAAATGTGACAACTGAGAGCAAAACTCTTCAACTCAAACCAGAACCTTGAATAAATACAAAAATTCTTTCACCAAATAAATTGCAAGTATCTGAAACCTGGAAAGTTCAAGGAAATTTTTCAGGATCGTCGTGTCAATAGGCAAACTCAAAGCCAAACAGAGACACACGCACACACATTTACCAAGTCACGGTTTTTTGTCTCTCTGTGGAATCATCACATTTTAAAGCTTCATATCCACTAGGGATGCATGAATGAATTGAAGATAATATACACGAGGTTTTGCAGTTCCTCAAAGATTGATTATGAGTATATCCCGCATCACTAGATGAAGAAGAACTACATTCACTTCCCTCATTATCACCTCCCTTTTTTTTTGCTTTCACATTACCATTTTCGCTGGTTTGTAACGAAAACAAAAAAAATTACAAAAATTAATATTAAAACTAAAAGTGCTTCTATCCAAGATACTCTGAGCGTTAAGGGTATAAACAAATGGTACAAAATGTATTTATAATTAGAGAAATTAAAGTTTGCGGCATTTGGTTCCATCCTCTAGTGACAGCTGAGATGTAATACTGACAAAAATCGTCAGAAGCAGCTGAAAATTACTTGTGTTCATTTTGCTTTGGTCTCCAGTTGATAATAACTGGGGCAAGAAGTAAAACTGGTAGAAAAAAATTCTTATTCGTGGATAACCCTATCTAGCGCCTAGTTTACATAAATAACTGGAGCGATTCATAGTGCAGTTCATAATATTTAAGTTCGTGATTCGTGAGAAATTTCTATTTACTTATAGACAGTTATTATTACTTAATGATATTTAGTGAAAGAGCAAGAAAACCCAGAGAGATCTAAATAATTGTTTAACCATAGTTTGGAACCTTTAGAGCGCTTGTGAAATTGAACCACAACTGCTAATATTGAGATGGAAGGTCTGTAGCTCATAATTTGAATATTTTAGCTATTATAAATGAATGACAGTAAACCCATATGCAAACAAATTTAGAGGACAATGACAATGACATGAAACAGTGCCTCCACATAAAAGGTCACGGTTAACTAATGTATTCACCGCAAAATTCGAGGGTTTGATCAAAAGTCAAATCTCTTTCAGACCAACAGAACTATTACATGGATGATACATCAGAATAATGGGATCTCATGGTGAACACATTAGGTTTGATCTGTTGTGTCGAAATACAATTACTAGTTCGTATCACCATGATCATGCTCCAAAGTTGTTCGCATATATATATATATATATATATATATATATATATATATATATATATATATATAAATTAAAATAACGAAAAATTACCTATCGCTGTCTTTCTCATCATCGCTCTTATATCCAGCCAATTTACGACTTTCTGGTCTCAAATGCCGAAGAATTGAAAATTCATAGTATTGGTAACCTCTGAAACTTTCTGCTACTGCTACCATCATACTAGTGATAAGAACATTTTGAAAAAGCTATTTTGCTTTGGTTTGAAAATAGTATTTAAATGTAAAAGTAGAAATAGTATTTCTATAGAAACTATTTTCAACTTGGCTGTCGGTATACACATAAAAGTAAATTTTACTCACTCGTGAACCTGCGATGAAAAAGTAACCCTGTTTATAAAAATAATAGTATGTATAGTTTATTATCGCTACGCTATGATACACGAGATGGTTCAGTCGTGAACCAGGTTGCCTCAAAAGTTGTTAAAAGTGTGTGGGTGGATTTCATTTGCCTAGGACTCAGTATCTACGTGGATACCGCGATGGCGTTTGAAGCGAACGATACTGAGTTCAAGTCCCGGAGTGGACATCAACTCTGGGATGTAGGAACATCCAAACGACGGGACCCAAATAGGATGAAACGTGAGTTCTGGATTCCACTGCTAGCCACCGTCCTAGCCCCCAAATGCCCTGGTACGTCCGAGAGTGGGGTGGGCCCGCCCACCCTCTCGGAATGCTCTCACACGGCCACGCGTATACAACCACTCCCAGGGAAGTCGTACTCACTGCTTTATCGCGGCGGGAAGTGTCGGGAGGACGAAAAGCGAATATTCGGAGCTTTAGCCGGGTCGGTAGACACGGAGAGTTGGGAAACCCTGATTCCAAACCAATGGTGCACATGGGCTCCAGGATATTAAGGGAACAAATGGTGTATGAACCAATTGTTGGTCACCGGCTACCATGGGACTGCATCTTCTGACTTTGCTCCACTGCCTTGCGGATTAAACCTTTAGGTCAAAGGCTCGGGGTGTGGCCCCTTATGAAAACCACCTCTTCCGGTCTAGGAACCCGGGCAGTATCACAGCCCACACACAATTACAATAAAAATGATGATATTTACTGAAATTCTATTCTCGCTTCGACTTACAGTCGAACAACTCACATTATTACTATTTACTACGTCATTTATTCACTCTCGTTTATTCCCACTTGATATATCCTTATTTTTCGACTTGTACAGCAGCCCGCCTATGGTGGAAACTCTGTTCTATCTAAACGATCTTGATTCACTGCCTGGTCGAAACTTGAATGCTTCCACCGAATAAGAATACTGAAACAATTTTTCTGAAACCACGTGCACCATTCAAACTGGCTGCTTTCAACGTTCGCACACTTATGCAGGTCGGACAACAGATAGGGCTGGCTATGTCTTTAGAAAGTCTTAGTATCGACGTTTGATGTCTATTCGATACCCGTATTCAAGACTGGTGAAGTAGTACAAATTCACTCTCCATCTGTCGCTTCAAAAGGCTTGTTTTACGTGCGCTTATCCAGAGATCCTGTGGCATCTTCGTCTGGTCTCGCTGGCGTTGGTGTCCCACTAAGCGCTAGAGCTGAGGGAGAACTAATCGATTGGATCCCCATTAATAGTCGGTCATGTGCTGTTAGATTAGAGAGTTCCATCAAAGTGAGAAGAAATCGGCGTGAGAAACCATGTATTTTCGTCATCTCCGCAATGCCCCGACAGATTGCAGCCCGGATGCAATCAAGGATGAATTCTACCACCAATTGTCTGTTCTTCTACAGAAAGTGCGTTCAACAGATATTGTAGTACTAGCCTGAGACTTGAATGCTCAGGTCGGACGTCTAGGCACAGAAGAGAGTCGTTTAGGTCGCCGATGGAGACTTGTTGGTCGCAGGACATATAACAGGGATCGTCTACTGCAAGTGTGCACAGACCATAATCTGTTTCTGGTTAGCACTAACCTTCGGCACAGTCATCGCCGATGTGCCACCTGGCGTCCTCCCTCTGCATCTCAAGCCTGGACTCAGATTGATCACATCGCGACCAGCTACCGCTGGCGTGGTTGTGTACAAGACTGCCGCTTCTTTTGCAGTACCTATCTGGACTCTGATCATGCCCTGGTCTGTGCCAATCTTACCTTACTTTTCAGTGGCCAACGAAGTGACCAGTACCAAAGGATTGGTGTCAGCAAGTTGGTTGCAACTTCTGTTGCTAGTAAGTATCGAACCGAGCTAGCTTCTAGGCTAGCCACCATTCCACCGAAAAGTATAGATGAGCATTGGTTGCAATTGCATGACGCCATGAAAATGGCGAGTACAGTCAGCTGTGAGATCGCGAAACGCCCCGCTTATAAGCACTGGGTTTCTGCAGGTTCCTTATAACTCATTGAAGCCCGTCGGTCTACTCCGGGTGACCGTGAGTTTGACCACAAACGAAGGATGTTACGTAATGAGATTGGGCAAAGCTTGCGTAAGGACCGAGAAGCCTGGTTGTCGGAGCGTGCTAATGAGTTGGAAGCAGCAGCTGCATCTGGTAACTACTGGAAGCTCTTCCAACTCATCCGAGCCACTGGCAGCAAGAAGTCTGGTGTGAGCTAAACAATCTGTGAGGATGACGGGATGCCAATCCCTAACATCCATCGACGTCTTGGACGATGGGAAGAATTCTTCGAAGGGCACTTCAACTGGCCCGCTGCCTCGGAAACATCGATGACTCATGGAATGAGTCGATAGTTGTCCCTATCTTTAAAAAGGTTTCACGTCGTTCCTGTAACAACTATCGGGAGATAAGTCTACTTCCGATTGCGTCCAAGCTATTGGCTTCCGTCATACTTCGTAGGTTGTTCACAACCCGGGGAAGATTGACTCGCGAGGAGCAGGCTGGGTTTCGTTCTGGTCGAGGATGTATTGATCATATCTTCACCCTCCGCCAAATGTTAGAACACCGTCATACTTATCAAAGGCCAACAATCGTAGTGTTTCTTGACATCAGGGCTGCCTTCGATTCGTTGGACGGGATTGTTTTCTGGGATTGTCTATTGAAGAAGGGTGTGCCTGAGAAGTGTATTAACATCCTAAAAGCCCTATATAAAAACACCTCAGGTAGAGTGAGGGCATAAAACCACCTTCCTCCATTGTTCCATTCAAGCAGTGGGGTTAGACAGGGTTGCCCAATCCCACCATTCCTCTTCAAATTTGCCATCGACGACATTCTGGAAACAGCTCTGATGGATGTAAGTAATGGTGTGGATCTGTTGCCTGGAGAAAGACTTCTTGACCTTGAGTATGCGGATGATATTGTCTTACTGTGCGATAATGCCCAAGCCATGAAATCCGCACTTAATCAGTTGGCAATCTTTGTCCGTAGGTACGGTATGTGCTTTGCACCTTCGAAGTGCAAAGTACTTCTACAAGACTGGCAAAACTCTAATCCTGTACTCACTCTGGATGGAAAGCAGATAGAAGTGGTCGAGAAGTTCGTGTATCTGGGTAGCTGCATAAGTGCTGGTGGAGGTGTGAGTGATGAGATCAATGCACGTATACTGAAAGCCAGAGCGGCTTATGCCAATATGGGTCATCTTTGGCGCCTTTGTGATGTCAGCCTGGCTGTAAAGGGTCAGATCTACAACACGCCGGTGAAAGCAGTTTTGTTCTATATTTATGAGGATGTCAGACAACTCTCTGTGTTCGATCATCGCTGTCTCCGAAGGATTGCTGACATTCAGTGGCAACACCATGTTAGTAATGCAGAGGTTCGGCATCATGTGTTCGGGCACAGAGACGATCATGCAATTGGTGTCACCATCTTGAAACACCGACTTCGGTGGCTTGGACATATTCTACGAATGTCGTCCCAAAGAATTCCACGTCGTACATTATTTGCCGACTCTGGGACTGGTTGGAAACAGGAGAGAGGTGGTCAGTGTACGACATGGTGTCGTGGTATGAAAGAAAGCTGCAAAGGGCTGGCTTCTGTCGGTCCTTCACGACTCCGTGGCTGAGGTCCGAGAGATGGTGCAACACAGTGACTAGAGACGTTATCAGATATGGTTCAGAATAAAAGCCAGTGATCCTGCTGTAACCTTCTTTTACTTTCTTCATAAAAATAGGGATGTTTCTTCCTTAACTGAAAGATTTCTTCTGGTTGAACCTTCCCATTTCCCCATTATTATTACTATCATTATTATTGTAATTATTATTATTACACTACTTTACACTAATCTGGTCGTTAATGTTCTTTTTTTTCTCTTCCCATTCTCATTTTTTGTGTGACGCATAAATATTTTGTGCCCTCTTGTACCAATATGTGTTCAAATAAGTAAATAAATAATTCATTTGCTAGTCACCTACACCTTGGAAGGATACTTTATGAAGTAACTGAAAATGGAAGTGAATCAGTAGAAGTATTGGCGAATCAAGAAGTGGACACAGAGCCTAGAAAACAACCACTTGACACCAATCACACGTTCCTTTTGTGGGAAGTTCTTGATGTATTACCTCCATACCCTAAAGGCCTTACCACTGGTGACAAAAATCTGTAGGTGTCCTGTTTTTAGGACTAGCCTCGTCTAACGTCTCTTTCAGTTGTAGGAAGGTATTATTGCTGTAGGTGTTGGTTCTTTGGGGGAAACAGCATACTGCCGTCACAGCCCTGTACAGTCAGTAGTGTGACCCCACCCTCAGATCTTAAGTTTGTGCTTTTAACTTCATTGTTCTCTAACTGAGCTGCCCACCACGGTAGGACCTAAAAGAAAGTGTTCTAGCTAATATAGATCGATTGGGTCATTACGACAGCTGAGTCTGGCAACCACGTGAAGGCAACAGGTACGGATGGGCGAGGTTGATAACGTAAAGATTATGTGCTTATGGTGGTGAGGTTACAGCTGAGTTGTAAAATATGTTTGAAGCAACTATTATATACAGTTAACGACACTCATTTTCAAAGTGAGACGAAGGGAGCTGAAATGGCATGAAATCGTTAATTGTTGATACGAGTTATATTTCACATATTCTAGTATCTCTTTCAAGAACATTACTATAGTAAACAAAAGATCTTGAGTTAAACCGCTGAACTGAACTAAATGTATCTAATGGAGTTACAGCCTTCTGAATATGGTCATTTATTCTTAAAACTACATACACAAAATTAATGAGAACCCAAAAGTATCCAATTGCAAAGAATTTTTTGGGGGTATAAGGACATAAAACCCATCCAGGTACTTGAAAATCATATATGTGTCAGGAGTAGAACTAGCGAGTTGAAAGATCATCTATAACAGAAAATTTGTTGAATAGCATGGAACAACATACGCACATAATGAAGTTTAAGGTAACGCAATCAGGTATTTTTCTGGAATTACTTTCAAGATAAAAGATATGCCACGTAGTATTCTCAAATTTTGTGTAAATTCCATTTAACCAAGAATTCTGAACTCAGAAAGAGCTTCACGTTCACTTATTAAGAAAAAATAAAACTTACTGAGACGTTTTTTCAAGAAAAGTCAACAAAGTATTCTGATAGCCGACAAGTACATGACTCAGCATATTACATCGACTGGCTGCTAACAGATCTATTTTTTGCATACTGTCCACTTTTAGGCGATCGAATGATGCTTTTGCTTTACGAACCTAAATGATAAAAATGATGAACAATGGGCTTATTATCGATAAGCTTAAAAAGTAAACAACTTAAAGAAGAATAAAATCAATAAGAACATCGTTGGTTTATATTAAATAGGGACTGATTTACCTGAATTTCCGATCACTAAGTCTGACACAAAAAGATATTGGCTCAGGAAGCGTGACTTCCTTTTATGTTACGGGTTAGGTTTAATCGGTTAGTGCTGATAAGTAAGAAATATTGACTCACAACTACCTTCAACATAGTACACAATGATATCGAGTTACTTGGGTTACTGGCTATATCACATTTTTTAACTGACCACTACAACGCGATATAACAGCGTGAATGTGTTTACAACTTGATGAACCTTTTGAGTGCTATTAAATCTTTAGGAGTTTCTAATAAGTTGTTTTGTAATGGTGGAGTAGATTTGTGACTCATGTAGATGATTTATGTGGAGTTTTGTTCTCTGAGCTGGATGGTTTGGTCGTGGAGCTTTCATCGTTACTCTGAACGACATCATCAGCACAAACTTCGGGTAGAAGTGGTGTTCAAATTTTTCCACATATGACTCACAGCTTATCCTGTCGACCTCGATGTTGATTGGTTATTGTTGACCTTTAACCTGCCATTGTCTTCTTTATTTTGATTGCGTCCCCATTGATTTGATTCTTGGTCCCATATCTGTTCATGATTTCTCTGACTGGTTGATAAATTGGATCGATTTCAATGTGTTTGTTGACTACTGATTGACTTGAGTGACTAGCTTCTAAAAATTCTTAGGTGCTTTTAGTATTTTCTATCCAAGATCTCAACATTTTCCCAGTCGATTATATTCACGGTTGTCCACATGAGTTGATATAAGCGAGTTGACCACTAAATGATATCCGTGTAGACGAAGATGAGGAGGACGTCCACTTTGTCCGATGTAGTGTTTTTCGCAGTTAGAACAATTTATTTTGTAGATGATATCCGATTTGTATTCTATTGTCATTTCGTTGTTTGGTTGAATAAAGAATAAAAGCCGAAAATCATCTACCATCTAAACTGTTCCAACTATGAAAAACACTAAACTGGACAAAGTGGTAGGCTGACGAATTTCAGAAATATTGTTTTTCGTATACACCACTGACATATTGTACAACGTGCTAAACATAAAATAAACTGGACAGATATAAGGAAGATATATATCACAATTTCTGGCTCAGAGTAGATAATGGTAATGATCATCTTTAATTACTGAGCAGAAAAAACGACTATATGGCGAGACGAAAAGCTAAATTGTATTAAATCTAATATTCTGATAATTACACTGGTGAGTAAAACTGATGATGGAGCTTTTGTTATTTATCCAACAACTAATGTAATAACAAATCCTAATGACAAGGAAATTTGATTAATTATATAGTATTCATAACTGCTGTGATAATCGAAAATTTTGAACGACTGGGAATAGGTTAGGGAAGGTATCAATGACTTTATCCGTGAGACGAAATAGTAATATGAATAAGTATTAGTACAATAAAGAAAAGGGAATGTATAGGAAAAATCCTTCGAAGAGTTGGATGAAGATACAACAGGAAATCATTCCGAAACTCAATATGAACCATCCCTGAAGTTTGAGGAACTAGGGACCTGTTTCGGAGTGGGGGTCCGGGCAGTGTCCTACCACATACAAAAATATGATAATGGACAGTTATGGAAATGTCCTGTTCGTTATGCCTATTTGTCTAATCACGTAATATGCAGTTTATTAGAAATGAATTTATTTCACATTGTTTCAACTCCCTGTCTCCCCATATTTCTGTTCTGTTTACTTCTATACTTCGACTCAACTAGTAGTTCATCCTTGTCGAAAGTCCTGTCTTATCTAAACTATCACAAACTGATGAACAGTCGATCTTATGGATTATATCAGGATATACAAACTCTGACACAGCTTTCTGAAGCTACGAGCCTAAATTAGAACTATCGCCGACTTTCGTGCTTGGATGCAAGTCGGACAACAGACAGATTGATCCATCATTGGAAAAGCTTACTATTGACGTATACTATGAGTCTGAGGCTCACATTCAAGACCGGTGATGCCAGAAACTCCTCTCCTGTAAATGAATTTGAAATGTTTGTTCTATATCCCTCTAACCTGGAGACCTTGTAGCACTACCGTCTAGTGTCGCACTGAACGCCAGAGAAGAGGCAGCGCTAGTCGACTGAACCCCTGATAACAATCGTTTATGTACCGTTAGGTCAGAAGGCTGCATTGGAGTGAGAAATCGATGAAGAAACGGAGTACCTCTCCCTGCTCCCCAAATCCCCTGGTACAGCCGAGAGTGAGGAGAGTCCGCTCACCCCCTCGAAATGCTTTCACATGACCACGCGTATACAACCACTCCCAGGGAAGTCCTACTCACTGCCTTATCGCGGCGAGGAGTGTTGTTTACGAAATTGAGAGGACGAAAAGCGAATATCCAGAGCTTTAACCGAGTTGATGGACATGGAGAGTCCTCCTAAGGGAGTTGGAAAACCCTGATTCCAAACCAATGGTGCACATGAGCCCCAGTATCCTGAGGGAACAAATGGCGTATGAACCAATAGTTGGTCACTAGCTACCATGGGACTGCATCTTCCGACGTTGCTCCACTGCCTTGTGAATCCGACCTTTAGGCCGAATGCTCCGGTTGTGGCTCCCTAAGAAAGCCACCTGCTTCGGTTTGGACACCCGAGCAGTGTCGCAGCCCTCACACAAATCAAATGAGATTTGTGTGGCGCATATGTATTTGGTGCCTCCTTGTACCAATGTTTGTGCTTAAATAAATAAATAAAAGCGTCCATATTAAACAATCCAACGACTGTTTTATTAACCATTATCATTTTTGCCCAATTATCTGATAAAATCTGACTAAATCAAGTCAACGTTTAAATGGTGCATACCGAATTGTTCAGAATATCTATATATGAATTACCTGTGCTTGAACGCACCGAAACTTCTCCAATTGTTTGTATGTATCTGGGTCCAACTCTTCGCTTACGTTTTTCATCCATAACAATGCACCTCGATATTCTGTGCGACCTTGTTCCATAATTTTAACTGTATTTGTTGTATCACTGATTGCCTGTTGTCTGAATGTTTTGACTTCTTGATGAACACGATCAAGTGGACTGAGTAAAGTAAGTCTATTTAAAGCAAAAATTCAGAAAACGATACAGATTGACAAAAACAAGAATCACGTCTCCAATGTGGTGTACACGTTTATATGGAAACAGATATAGACTCGATTTGCTTCACTGTACATCTAAATGGACGTACAGACAACCACATATGTGGTTCTTCACAGCACATTATTTTGCTGGAAGTAACGGATCACATCCCTTTTTTATTACATTGTCTCAGGGTTGCCCTGATGCTCGTGGTTATGTAACAAGGGTGCTAAACAATAACAGTACGTCAATCATAATGTTGTGTACTCAGGCAATCGTAAGTTGGTTGGTTAGATGTAATGATTAATGAAGCCGTAGTGAGTCCAAATGCGTATAACAGAAAAAATGCAGTTTTACCTTTGTTGTGCTGAGCTACTTAACGCCTTTCCGACAGCAGACATAATCTTCCCAGCTTGTGTTTTATCTTCTAAACTATATTGTTTTAGAAATCGTCCCATTTCATTTTCAGCCTGAGACAGATCTGAACAGTCGTCAGGGTAATAATGAAAACTTACAGCACAACGTTCTCTGATAACGTGCCAACACATTGTCAAGATCTCGACATGTCAACTGAACAGATTTTAACAGCTGAAGGAGTGATAAATAGGGTGTTTTTACCTCCAACTTTGCGTCGAGATCGGAGTCGGAAGCTACAATATTTTCGTCTTGCTTTCGACGCAGTTTCTTTATAACTGCTTGTTTGGTAGTCCAGTAAGCATTTTTCAGTCTGTGAGATGTTGAATCATTTGTCCTTTGAATATACCGCTCGCAGCTGGGGTTGTAATAACTAATTCGTAATCAGTAATAGACAACCACCAACCAACATACCTTGTCATCGCCAACGCAACGCGTTTCTGAAATTACGCGGATGCTAACTCGTCAGTCCAATACCCAATAGCTTTGTCATGGTTTTGTATTAAACGAATGATTTCTTTGCTCTCTCGCCTTGTTTTTTTCGGTACGGTGCCGGATGAAAGACACGGTGAGCGCTCAACTTCGAAATACTCAACATCCATTGTCCGGATACCATCAGTAACAGTGGGAGAGAACAAACCAACTTCCAGTTGAAGAGAAGATTTGGTGGGTGGTCCGTGTTCCTCCATGAGAAGTAACAGGTGTAAGTAAGTGTGGAAAATTTGGAGATAGACAAAACGCTTTTCAAAGTTCCAAGTCGTTTACTACTAAAACACTGGATGATAGTGGGTCAAAACCAGTTGAGTTGGACAAAAGGATGGATTCGCTATCATTCATTGCCACCTGAAGCAGTGACTCAAATTCGACGCAAATATTAATTTCCAAAACAGGCTAATCCCACTCACTTATTGTTGATAATTGTACTTACTTACTTACGTCCGTTACTCCTAATAGAGCATAGGCCGCCGACCAGCATTCTCCAACCCACTCTGTTCTGAGCCTTCCTTTCTAGTTCCATCCAATTCTTGTTTATTTTTCTCATGTCTATCTCGACGTAATGTGTTCTTTGGTCTTCCTCTTTTCCTTTGACCTTGATGATTCCATGTGTGAGCTTGTCTTGTGATACAGTTGGATGCTTTCCTCATTGTGTGTCGTATCCACTTCCAGCGCTTCTTCCTGATTTCTTCCTCCACTGAGATCTGATTTGTTCTCTCCCACAGTGCGTTGTTGCTAATAGTTTCCGGCCAAAAGATCTGAAGTACTTTCTGTAGACAACTGTTAATAAACACTTGTATCTTCTGAATGATGGCTTTCGTAGTTCTCCAGGTTTCCGCCCCATACAGTAGGACTGTCTTGACATTTGTATTGAAAATCCTGACCTTGGTGTTGGTTGACAGTTGCTTTGAGTTCCAGATGTCCCTCAGTCGTAGATATGCTGCTCTTGCTTCACCGATCCGCGCCTTCACATCTACATCAGATCCACCCTGTTCATCAATGATGCTGCCCAGATATGTGAAGGTTTTTTCATCTTCCCAGTCTTCTCCGTCAATTGTGATTGGATTGGTGCATGCTGTGTTGTATCGGAGAATCCTGCTTTTCCCTTTGTGTATGTTGAGACCTACTGCTGCCGAGGCTGCTGCTACACTGTTCGTCTCTCCTGCGTTTGTTATTGCGTTTGTACTAGAAGAGCCAGATCATCTGCGAAGTCTAGATCGTCCAGCTGCATTCTAGCTGTCCATTGTATCCCGTGCTTCCCCTCAGGTAATGACGTCTTCATGATCCAGTCGATCACCAGGAGAAAGAGAAAGGGTGAGAGTAATCAACTCTGCCTAACACCAGTCTTTACTCCGAACAACTTTGTGAACTGTCCTCCATGCACGATTTTGCAGTTGAATCCATCATATGAATTCTATATGATATTGACTATCTTCTCAGGCACGCTGTAGCGTCGAAGAAGTTTCCATAGTGTTGTTCTGTCCACGCTATCAAATGACTTTTCGTAGTCAATAAAGTTGATGTAGAGTGATGAATTCCATTCAATTGATTGTTCCACAATGATACGTAGTGTTAAGATTTGGTCTGTACACAATCTATCCTTACGGAAACCTGCCTGTTGGTCACGAAGTTGAGCGTCTACGCAGTCCTTCATCCCGTTTAACAATACCCTGTTGAAGACTTTTCCCGGTATTGAGAGAAGAGTGATGCCCCAGTAGTTATCACAGTTGCTGAGATCGCCTTTCTTCGGTATTTTTATCAGAACTCCTTCTTTCCAGTCTATTGGTGCTTGTTCCTCATCCCAAATCTTATTGAAGAGAATGCGGAGTATCCTTGCAGTTACCGGTTCATCTGCTTTCAGTGCCTCTGCTGGAATGCTGTCTGGTTCCGCTGCCTTGCCACTCTTGATTTACCTGATGGCCATGCTGATTTCTTAAATTGTTGGTGGACCAACATCGATTGGGATGTCCGTGGGTGCTGCTTCGATGTTGGGTGGGTTCAGTGGGGCTGGTCGATTCAAAAGTTCTTTGATGTGTTCTACCCACCTGTTTTGCTGCTTTACAATGTTGGTGATTACATCATCATACAGTTGTCTCATGTTTCCTTCTCTTGCAGCCTTTTCCACCGTCGTTGTCAGATCTTCCACATATTTACGTTTGTCGTTTGTGGTGCTCCTCTTCACTTGGTTGTTTACTTCTGTGTATTCAGCTTGTGCCTTGGCTTTTTCTGCTCTTGTTCGGCTGGTATTGATTGCTGCTTTCTTGTTCCTCCTTTCTTGAATCTTATCCAGTGTATCAACAATGATCCATTCCTTGTGATGGTGCTTCTTGTGACCCAGAACTCCATGACATGTTGAAGTTGCTCTCCATAGTAGTTCCTTCTCCATTGAGTAGGTCATGAAAGGCCTGGAATCTATTGCTGAGGACTACCTTGAATTTGTTGAGTTTGTCAGTATCCTGAAGAAAGGCCGTATTGAACTTTTGTGATATTGTCCGCCCCATTGTCCGGTGCTTCTTGAGTTTCAATTTCATCTTGGCGACCGACAAGTGATGATCTGATGCTATATCAGCTCCTCTCTTGGTTCGCACGTCCTCTATAATCCTCCTGAACGTTTTCTTGATGCAAATATGGTCGATTTGGTTTTGCGTGGTGTGATCCGATGAAGTCCATGTGGTTTTGTGTATGTGTTTATGTGGGAATACAGTTCCGTCAATGACCAGTTTATTGAAGGCACATAGGTTTGCAAATCTCTCACCATTTTCGTTCCTTTCTCCCAGACCATGTCATACCATGATGTCTTCATATCCAGTGTTGTCCGTTCCAACCTTGTCATTCAAAACTCCCATCAGAATGGTCGGGTCCTTTGTTGGGCACTTCTCGATGATTGACTGCAGCCTATTGTAGAATTGATCTTTAGCGTCTTCATTGTGGTCGTTGGTAGGCGCATAGCATTGGGTGATGTTCATTGAAAAGCCCCCTTTATTTGTTTTGAAGGAGGCTTTGATGATCCTTTTATTGTTTCTTAATAATTTAAAACCTATAAGTAGTGCAATTAATGACATTACTGGCCACCAGTTACCCATCTTGGATACAGTTAATGCCGCCTTGATTAAAAATCTGTTCGCGAAACGGATAATATTGATAGCTGAGTCGTCCAGTCGAGCTACTTGCATTGTAACTCCATTAAAGACTGATGGAAATACACATAGAATTTTCGGTAATTACCGCTTGAGTGACAAATCTTCTGACTGAACGCTTAACTCGGTTTCCTAAACTCTTCTAATAACCCTCCCCCTTTATCCGTGCTTGGGACCGGTACTAGCCCCGGGCGAGATCCCAGGCTGATTTTCCAATTAAGGTTCCAGATTTTAGTCGAAATTTACAAATAGTTTTCCCAATTGTCGTTCTGACAACAAGTTATAACAGTTACATATCTGTTCTTCAATTTTGTAGGTTACCGGTCAAAAACTCTCAAATACCAAACCAAAGACAATAGAAACCAAAATTGTATAACGGTATAAATTTGGAAGTTTAGTAAAACAAATACACCCAAAGAACACAGTGAAATTATCAATATACAATGTAAAGGTTTTAATCAGACAAATGTCTTCAGTTTTCCCGTAACGCTCCAAACCGAAAGAATTTTTGCTGTTTTCACATGCAAACAAATAGGCAGCGAGGATTCAAGTATGTGCATTTCAAACGATCAAAGACAAACTCTCAGTGCACCAACAGCCTCGTGATCCCTAGAACTTAGACCAGGACGCATATGGATCCGAGTAGCTACATAACATCTACACCTTCAAGACGAAGTTTTGGAATATCTCTTGCTAGGACTCTCTTTCTTGTTCTCAACTCCTTATGATGAATAAGAGTATTTGAATTATAGTATGAACTAAAAATCCCAAAAATTTCGTAGTCGGATCAAGAAGTACTAGATGAGCACAAACGAATGTATTGTATTTAGAATTCGAAATCAAACATTCTACAAGTACAAAGAAATCATCAGTTCATTCAAACACCACATCCGCCACAGCTTAAATTGGAGTCTTAGTGCTTGTAATTGATTGTACGTCTTCTCCTTAAGTTCATCCTGTGTCTGTCCGAGTTTGTTAAATAAAGACTCTGTATTATCTAGAATTCACTCATTAGTATTAGAATTAACAATCGAAATCGAAACAGACTCACTTGCTTCCTGGGATTGTGTACAATCCCCATGTCGGTTGAGTACTGAAACTACTGTTACCTAGAATTTGAGCCATAGAAATTCAGACTATCCTCCCCCACGAAATAATGTCGGATCTTCATATCCCCAAGTTATTAATAATGTGGCTTCATTTAAAAAATATTTCTTACATTGATTATAATATACATTGGAAGTGAATTTGTGATAAGGATGAACAGCATTTGATATGAAATCATCTGAATTGTGATCAAAATCGAGCTCACTTAATACTCGTGCTTCGCATTGAACAAGATTCCCACAACAAACAAATGCTTTATGAGGACAAATAATATTTGATATGACATCAAGATTCGATTCTTCTGAAATAGTTTCCTCAAATTTATTAAGAATGTCATTGCAGAGCAAAGGATCGTTAGGAAAATCAGTATCCATCAAAACTACATCAGGTTTTCGATCATAATTATGTTCACTCAACACATTTTCTTCAGATTTGTAAGAAATTTCATCAGAAATATGTGAATCATTAGGAAAAACTATATTTGGTACAATAACATGAGAAGTCTGACAAATTGATTGATTAGAAACTGTTGTCTCACAAGGATTCTGAGTTTCTGGTGATGAACAGCGTGAAAGTCATAACCACCCTGGCCCCCAAATTGAACAAAAGTGGCGTCATACTGCAGATTGATAATGCAATAATACTCTTCTGTGATTGCGTTAAGTGTCAGTGTCTCGTTCAAG